TTCTCAAAATTATTATTTCTATACATTAATTCATGATTGATACTTTAACTTACTTTCATCCTCATATGTCTCTAATTTTTACACCATCAAACACAATATGTTATTATATCTCATACCTATATCATTTTGCGTAATGTTCCGCCAAGAAGTTATAGCAGGAGGAGATTTTGAACCATTTTATGTTGATATTGATGACTTAGTTACAGCAATTATATCATATTGCGTTGGAATTGATGTTGATTAAACTATCTTTTAAAATATCTCTCATTAATATGTCTTGATTTATTCGAAAGTTATCAAAGAAAGAACTTTACGATTTTAGCCATTTAAAGCAATTTCTAACTTAGTTGAAGATATCCCAGTAATTCTAACTTAACATATCATATTGTATAATGTTCTTTATTAAGTTCTTTAGCAAAGAAGGCAGATGAGATAATTTTGGATTAATTATTGCCAATCTAATAATCTATATGGGTTGGGTTTTATATTTATTCTATATTGGGTTTTCTGATCCGAACCAGAATTGGCGTCAAATTGAACTATCTAGACCATCAAAGGCTGCGCTACCGGGGGTGCAAGAGGTGTTTCTTTTGCAGTATTTAGACCTGTAAGCAGTAGCTAGTCTTCAGAAAGCAGTATTTAGTCTCCACAAACCAATTTTAGTCTTTAGAAAGCAGTATTTAGTGTTCCAGACGTTGTATTTAGACCTGTCGGCAGTATCTAGTCTTCAGAACGCAGTATTTAGTCTTCTAGAAGCAGTATCTAGTCTTCTGCCAACGTTATGTATGTTTTCTCCAACAATATCTTATCTTTCTTTTGCAGTACTTTGACCTGTCAGGAGTATCTAGTCTTCGGAAAGCAGTATTTAGTCTCCACAAAGCAATTTTAGTCTTTAGGAACCAGTATTTAGTGTTCCAGACGCTGTATTTAGACCTGTCGGCAGTATCCAGTCTTCAAAAAGCAGTATTTAATCTTCCAGAGCAGTATCTAGTCTTCAGAAAGCAGTATTTAATCTTCCAGAGCAGTATCTAGTCTTCAGAAAGCAGTATTTAATCTTCCAGAGCAGTATCTAGTCTTCAGAAAGCAGTATTTAGTTTTTTAGAAGCAGTATCTAGTCTTCTGCCAACGTTATGTCTGTTTTGTTCTTGATACTGACAGCTACTTCTTTCTGGGTGTCTATCATCATCTTTTTGGGAGTCTCTTATTATCCATACGGATCTTGTACCACCCGATACCTCATTTCTGCAGCTGTTACTTTGCTTTTGTGCTTATCCTGCATTGGCAGAGTTTCCCTATTGGTGATTTCCTGTCCTGTACAATAACAAGACAAGTCCATTGGTTTCTTGTTCATATTCTTCGCATTCTTTTATTGAACACATAAGTATTGCCATGAAAAATCATGTTTGGTTTATAATCAATTTTTTGTTTTCTCTGAACAGTAATTTCAGACTTCATGTGGACTTTGAACAATGTAATTCCTGTTTTTTGCTGAAGTCTAGTTTATAACTATTGCAATTTTAGACGTTTTCTTGCAAATGAACCTTCTGACCAGAATATTCCCGACTATTCCCTTAAGTTTGGTTTTTTACCAGTATAATTTTTAAATTTTTGCTGAAGTATGGATTATGATTATTCCAGGACCTCACTCCGGTTCTTCTTTCTCATTAATGCCACGCGACATCTAAAGAAGATATGATGTGCAAAAGCTTCATTTTGCCATAATGTTGATGGAGAACTTTATTCTTCTCCAAGTATAGCAGTCACCAATGTTCCAAAACGAGTCGAATTTGTTTATTCATTATCTCACAGATACCCACACGCAAACTAATTGGGTTCGATTTGAACTCTCACATTAAAATATATTTGTATCTAAGTTAATATATTTTTGCTGGCCATTTTGAATGAACACCTGGTATAAAAACAACACAATAGATTTCCTAGAATCCAAAAAACAACCGGTACATAACAGGTTCAATCAACTAAAAAGTAGATTATCATGTGGTTAATGTTATTTAAAAAGTTGTAAAAGAAATGGGGTCATTCGCCGACAGTGGTATTGTTTATCTGGAGATTCCTGGACTACCTTGAGGTTCGTCCTTGTCTCCTTCAACTCAGTTTTCATCAAGTAGGGGAAATTCTGAATTACCTGAAGGTCCAATCTTGTCTTAATCTTAGTTGTCATCAAGTCGAAAAAATCCTGAGCATTTTGAACTACCTGGAGTTATGCTACTCCCTTCTTGATGTCAGTTGTCATCAAACCGAAGAGTTTTGGAGGTCCTGGACTACTATTTTGGCCTTGACCATCGTGTTCAACTAGTTTATGATGATTTTGGACTACTTGGTGGTTTACCATTGCCTCCTCGATCTCCGCTCTCATCAAATAGAGATGTTCTTGAATCTGGACTACCTCGGGAACCATTATTTTCACTTTACCCTTCATGTTCATCTAGTATAGGAGATTCTGGAATACCAGAGGAACCATCTTATACTAACGTTCGGATCAGCAACCGTTGGAGGTGGAGGTAAAGGGGGTGGACGGCAGAAGACGAGCGGAACTGGGGAGCAAGTTCATCAGGACAGACTGGTCGGAAGAAGGGATAGCATTCTACAGGGGAAACCTCGACACTTGGCAACAGAAGGTACAAGAGATCAATGGTTTGGAAGAACTTATCCAGGTAGTGCGGGAGGCAACACTGAAAAGGGAGTGTGTACGTAGGGGTATGATGGCGAGTGCAAGAAGGCGAAGAGGGACGCGAGAAGGAGGTTGAGGCAGTGGAGACGGGGGAAGATAGGGGTGGATAGATATAGGGAGGCCAGGAGAGGATATAGAGAGTTATGCAGTAGAAAGAAAACAGAACTGAGGGAGAAGGAGGCGGCAGAGATTAGAGGGATAACAAGGGAAGGGGAGGTCTGGAGGTATCTGAAAAAGAGAAAGAAGGGTAGGGAGAGGATAACCAGCGAAATACACATGACAGAATGGAAGAGTTACTTTATGAGATTATTGGGAGGGGTAGAAACGAGGCGAACGGGTTTGGGAGGCTATGAGGGAGATCGGGGAAAGGAGATAGCAGAAGAGGAGATGGAAGCAGTGCTTAGGGGATTGAAGAAGGGAAAGGCGCCAGGGGAAGATGGGATACAGAACAAGGCATGGATGGAAGCATCAAGGGTGGTGAGAGTGAAGTTGTTGGAGGGGATGAATAGCGTATGGTGAAGGGGTGGGATTCCGGAGGGATGGAAAGTGGGGGTAATTTGCCCAGTATATAAAAAGGGCAATAAGGGAAGGGTAGAGAGCTACAGGGGAATTAACCTACTAGACTCGGCATACAAGGTATACACGAAGATACTACTGGGAAGACTGGAGGAGGAGATGGAGTTGGGGGGAATTTTGCCGGATGGGCAGGCAGGCTTTCGGAAGGGAAGGGGAGCAATCGACAACGTGTACGTGCTGAAGCATCTGGCAGATAGAGAGAGACCTGGATAAGAAGGGAGGGAAATTGTACGCCCTGTTTATAGATTTGAAGGCGGCTTTTGATAAGGTGGATAGTTGAAAGTTGGGGGAGGAGGGGGATCACGGAACACCTAATTGCGAGAGTGAAGGAAATATACATGGAGACTATGGCTAGGATAAAAGTGGGAGATAAGCTGAGCGACGTGTTCTGGACGACGAAGGAACTGAGGCAGGGATGTCCGCTGAGCCCAAGTCTGTTTGCACTGTATACGGCGGACCTGGAGGATAGATTGGGGAAGGGGCAAATGGGAGGGTTGGTGGTGGGAGGTAAAAAGGTGCATATGTTAGCATACGCGGATGACATCGTGGTCATGGCGAGAGAAGCGGCGGAGACAGTTCTTGTCTCCTTGATGTCAGTTGTTATCAAGTGTAGAAGATTTTGGAGATTCTTGAACTACCTTGAGGTTCGTCCTTGTCTCCTTGGCGTTAGTTGTCATCAAGTTGAGCAGATCCTGAACTACCTGGAGATTTGCTGTTGTCTCCTTCAACTCAGTTTTCATCAAATCGGGGAAATTCTGGGTATCTTGGACTATTGGAGTTCCGTCCTTGTCTTCTTGATCTGATTAACTGAGATCCTGAGAATCCTGGACTAAGTGGAGGTTCGTTCTTTCTTTCTTGATCTCCGTTGTCATCAAGTCGAGAGATCTTGGACTACCTGGAGGTCTTCTATTAGTTGAGGAAATTCTGGACTACCTGAAGTTCCAATCTTATCTTAATCTTAGTTGTCATCAAATCTGTGTTATAAAAATATTAAAATGTTATAAAAATAACACAATAGATTTCCTAGAATCCAAAAAACAACCGGTACATAACAGGTTCAATCAACTAAAAAGTAGATTATCATGCGGTTAAAGTTATTTAAAAAGTTGTAAAAGAAATGGGGTCATTCGCCGACAGTGGTATTGTTTTTCGGTTATCTTTCGAAGTCTCAGAGAGCCGATGATTATTACGCAAAAGTGTTACATCGGCGAGTAAAACGAAACGAGCGCGGTGGGAAAAACTTCGGCACACCTTCTCAGATGTCGCTTTCCTTATAGGGAAAGTACCACTGTGTGCGGGTCTGCGGTATCTTTAAAGATACCGCGAAACATGCGGAGAATATTTTCACTATGTAAATATAGCCTCAATAAATGTGGTGAATATTATCGAAAAGAATTCGTTTTCTTTTTATTTAATTAAAGTACATTGTTTAGTTTCAATTTGTTAGATTTGCAAATTGAAAATCCTCTTTTACATTATGCAAGAAACGTGTCCCCTCAAGTACAACGACACGGTAAACAACTTATGCATGTATGCACATTACGTAATCGCTTCCACTTGATACGCCTCTAGTGTTTTATGGGTTCCTTATCGCCACGCTCGGCCAGTTCCTCGACTAATGTATCCACATCCTTCCCGAAAACTCAAAAAAGCCACCACGTAGATTAAGGTGTATTTTAAGTATCGATTATTTCGTTTTATTGGAGTATTTAATTGATTTTGGTTGTTCTAGCCGAAAGCGATATTTCAACTTTCGCACTGTTGAAGAAGCATTACTCGTCCAAATACGATGTTACGACCAACTTATTTTCTGCTGAGACGAGGCCATCGGCGGTTAGAGACCTCTACGAAGCTGCAGCCAAAACTCCGGTGCATTTGATGAGGCAAATGGACAAATGGAGGCGGGATGGGCATCGGTCTTCAAAATTCTTCCTTTGCACTCCCGTCTTGGGAAGGAAAAGAAGAATTAAAACCAAGGTGGATATTGATATCGAGACGAGTATGGTAAGAAAAATGTGTTTTGATTTAAACGCTTAAATTATCGTATCAAGTATGCAACCAATATCACCGTATTTTTATTGCAATACGCGATTTGCGTATGATGCGTATTGCACTGTGATATTGGTTGCATAACCTATGTATCCCGTTTTCATTCATGATTCATATAAGTAATTAGCGTGACCTTGCGTGATGACTTTGTATAGCTTCACGTAAAATGAATCGATAAACACCAGACTAACGTCGCGACGAGGCGTATAAGCTAACGGTTTAAAGTAAAATTTAAATAGTACACCCATTTAAAACACATCCTGCTTTTCTGACCCCATCTCGTTTCAACTCTTAGATCATAAATCTCTCCGTCTTTCTCGTCAAGACGTTTACGTTCAGAATGACTTAGTACAAAGAATAGGAGGCGGTGGTTTATTAGGTATTCAAAGAGAACAATGGATGTATGTGCCAATTTCAAAACGGACGTCAACTTATTTGATTAACAAAAGACCCAAAAATAACTCTTGTTTACAATTTTTATTATTTTAGCCTGCAGCTGTAGAAGAATTACGTCGTTGGACATCGAACGAAGCATTAGGAGACATCACCGTTACAACGGACTGTCAAAATAGGATACCTCCAACCCACGTGACTTTGACAGATGGTGACGTCACTGACACTGTTTTATCAGACGACGAAGCCATTGACCATAAATTACCATCGCCTGAAGAGCAGCAACAAGTCATCGCGATGAGGTACAAAAAAAAATTAAACTTGTAGTCGCCATCTGTTGGGCGCAAGACTAAACGGTAAAATTTTCAGGTTTCTACCGGAGTTGGTTTCCATTGATATTTCTGGTAGACATTTCGATCGCATGTCGTTTCAGAGACGGTCGTTGTTGAACGTTGAATCGGAAGATGGCAATACTGTGAGGAGAAAAACTAAATCGAGACGATCGAGAAGTAAAAGAAGAAACACCTTGGCCGGAACTGATGAAAAAGAAATCGTCGATGTTTTAGTTAGCGGGTAAGTCTCAGTTTTTGATTAGGAAAAGGTGTAGAGGAGAATTACAGATTATATTAATACCATCGATTTTTTTTGTCAAATTCTAGGAAATGTAAAACAAAATTTTAAATGTTATATCGCTTTCTCAGATTATTTTCTTCGTTTTTCTAATTTGGAAATTTATTTATTTATGTTGTAGTCGAAAACGATACTTTTTTTATGTTTATGATAAAAAATAGTCTTGATGCTTCAATCTAGACCATCATTATCTCCACCTCGTGATGATCTCCTCTGTTATTGATCTGTTCATCTAATCCAGCAACTTTCAGTATTCTGGATTAAATGAATGTTTTGCTGGGAATTTTTGTCCTAATGATGTCTTTTTGATCTTAGTTGTCAATAAGTCGAGAAAATCATGGGTATCCTGGGCTACCTGGAGATCAGCTGTTGTTTTCTTGATCCTGGACTATTTGGAGGTCCGTTATTATTCCTTGATTTTAGTTGTCATCAAGTCGTGAAGATCCTGGGAGTCCTGGACTAAGTGAAGATCAGTTCCTATCTCTTTGATCTCAGTTGTTATCAGCTGTAGAAGATTCTGGGGATTCCTGGACTACCTTGAGGTTCGTCCTTGTCTCCTTAATGTTAGTTGTCATAAAGTTGAGGAGATCCCGAACTACCTGGAGATTTGCTGTTGTCTCCTTCAACTCAGTTTTCATCATGTCGGGGAAATTCTGGGTATCCTGGACTATTGGAGTTCCGTTCTTGTCTCCTTGATCTGATCAACTGAGATCCTGAGAATTCTGGACTAAGCGGAGGTTCGTTCTTTCCTTCTTGATCTCCGTTGTCATTAATTCGAGAGATCTTGGGGATCCTGGACTACCTGGAGATCAGCTGTTGTCTCCTTGATTTCTGTTGTGATCAAGTCATGGAGATTTTAGGAATCCTGGACTATTTGGAGGTCCGTAATTATTCCTTGATTTTAGTTGTCATCAAGTCGAGAAGATCCTGTTAGTTCTGGATTAAGTGAACATGTGTTCTTGTCTCCTTGTCTTAGTTGTTATCAAGTTGAAAAGATTTTGGGGATCTCGTAATTGCTCCCTGACTCCAGTTATCATCATGTCGAGGAGATCCTGGGAGTCTTGAACTAAGTGAAGATCAGTTTCTGTCTCTTTGATCTCAGTTGTTATCAGCTGTAGAAGATTTTGAGGATTCCTGGACTACCCTGAGGTTCGTCCTTGTCTCCTTGGCGTTAGTTGTCATCAAGTTGAGGAGATTCCGAACTACCTGGAGATTTGCTATCGTCTCCTTCAATTCAGTTTTTATCAAGTTGGGAAAATTCTGGGTATCCTGAACTATTGGAGTTCCGTCCTTGTCTCCTTGATCTGATCAACTGAGATTCTAAGAATCCTTGACTACCTGGAGATCCTCTATTAGTTGCTTAATCTCAGTTATCATCACGTCGAGGAAATTCTGGACTACCTGAAGTTCTAATCTTGTCTTAATCTTAGTTGTCATCAAGTCGAAAAATCCTGGGCATTTTGAACTATCTGAATTTATGCTACTCCCTTCTTCATGTCTTGTAGTCCTGGACTCCTATTTTGGCCTTGACCATCGTATCCAACTAGTTTATGAAGATTTTGGACTACCTGGTGATTTATCATTGCCTCCTCGATCTCCGCTATCATCAAATAGAGACGTTCTTGGACCTGGACTACCCCGGAAACCATTATTTTCACTTTACCCTTGTATGTATGTATGTATGTAGTTTCACGTGGGGGTGAGTTACTCACAGCACTTAGGCCCCAGCGGACCCTTTGTACGTCCCCACAATTTACGGTTCATTCAAGGGTCAGAAAACCAGCCCAATCTTTTCATGAACGTTAATATAGAACAGAAAGGTATGTTCCTTATATCCGAAATTTGGAGCCATGATACTCCTTTGGACAGTCACAAACAATATGACTTACCGTCTCGTCTTCCATTTCACACCCTCTACAGAGGGGTGTATTCGCCAGGTTCATATAAAACATGTGCTTACGTAACCTGCAGTGTCCGGCCAGGAAGTGGGTGAGAGTCACTTTTCGTTTTTCCCAGAAACTGAGTAGATGTCTTCCGGTCAGGGTAGAGCAGAGTTTTCTTAGCAAAGGCACCTACTGCTGTCCCATCCAATCTGTCGCAAAAAGCTCGGTGGGAGATGAAGTTTATCAGTTTTGATGCTGTATTAACAGCTAGTGGTACAAACGGTTCAGGGGAGATCGGTGACTTGTTAGCCGCCCTTTTCTCATGATCATGTCCTTTAATTCCGATGTGTCCTTTTCGCCGTTTTATCGTGACGTTGTTGTATACGTTTGTCTCTTCGAGTGATTACCGACAGGACTTCACCAACGATGATGCAGTATGATGCCTGCCAACCGCCAGCATAGCCTGTCTGCTATCAGTACAGATTACAACGTTTCTGCCGACTTTTTTGGAGTCGATAATCGCATCGGCTGCTATGTTTATAGCAATTAATTCGGCTTGAGCAGTCGTGCAATACGAAAATTCCCGCTCCGGAACCTCCAGCCTTCTTTGATCCATCAGTGTAGATGGTCAGCGTTTTGCCCGAGCTTGAGTTGCTCTGGGCTATCATTTCAATGCCAAAGTGTGGCTTGCCTAAGAAAGTAGGTGTAATGTAGTCTGTGCGAGCTTTAAGGAGGGGTTGTTTACTAACAGCCTCACTCCAGAGCTTGCTCCGGACTATTCCCATTTTAACAACCTGCTTTTCATTTACTGATCGCAACCGAAGCAATGCCATCACGGCCACCTCCCTGATAAAAATATCTAGGGGCAGCACGTTTAGCATAGTCTCCATTGCAATCGTAGGTGTAGATCTCATAGCGCCTGTGATTAGCAGGCAGGCCAGTCGTTGCAATTGATGCAGCAATGTAGGTTTATATGCATGTTTTAGTGCTGAGGACCAAACTATGGCTCCGTGAGCTACTTACCCTTTATGTTCATCTAGTATAGGAGATTCTGGGCTACAGAGGAACCATCTTGTGCTAGCGTTCTTGAAGTACTTGGAGGTATCTCCTTGACACCCGTTTTTGAGAAGATCTTGGTTTACCCGAAAATCCATCTTTCGAGGTTCGTTGTTTCCTTCTTGATCTCCTTTGTCATCAAGTCATCAAGATAGATGCTGCGTAACAAATTATCGACCTATAGCCATCATAAATAATTTTTCCAAGCTTTTTGAGCAGATTGTAACACGCAAAATCGAATTTTACACTAAGTCCCGTATATTTGACCAACAACATGGGTTTTGCAAAGGTACATCCACAGTCACCAACCTACTCAGTTTCTCTCAGTACGTATCGAATACATTAAACAGTCAAGAGCAGGTGGATGTGATATACACCGACTTTTCTCGGGCTTTTAATTGCTTGGATCATGATTTGTTGGCCGAAAAGTTGTGGAGATTTGGATGTGATCACTTTCTCACACGACTCCTAGTATCGTATGTATCCAGTCGCAGACAATACGTTGAGTTAAGTGGTATGAACTCAAGACAGATTCATGTTACTAGTGGCGTACCCCAGGAATCTATACTTGGCCCTTTGCTGTTCAACATCTATATAAATGATTTACCTGCGATTTTCAACACGAATTCACTCTTATACGCAGACGACCTGAAACTATTTAGATCTATTGGTTGTGAGCAGCACTGTGAATCACTCCAGTTAGATTTAGATAAACTTTATTCATTCATGGTGTTCTGAGAACAAATTAGCTTTAAATACTCTTAAATGTCAGGTAATGACATACAGTCAAAAACGTAATACCATACTTTTCGATTATGTGCTTGGAGTGGATAACTTGTTGCGTATCTCAACAGTAAAGGATCTTGGAGTGTGGTTTGATGGCACTTTGTCCTTCAATGAACATATCGACAGAACATCGATTGGTGCCCTCAGAACGTTGGGGTTTATCACTAGAAATACGTTGGAGTTTACGAATTTAAAAACAATAATAGATCTTTATTCTACGCTGCATTGCCACCATCGAGAAAGTACAGAGGAAGTTCATTAGGTTTATCCACTACCTCGATTCTGGGTATTATCCACCTAGAGGAGAACTAAACTATATAAATCTGCTACAACGATATGGCCTCCAGAGCCTTGAGGACCGTAGAAGATTGTTGTCTGCGAGGTTTGTGCGCGGTGCGATGTCGGGTGTGCTAGTTGCATCGGAAATACTAGCTTTATATAATATTATCTCTTTATTGGATTGTAATCCATTGGGATAATAAAGATTATTATTATTATTATTAAGTCAAGGGATCTTGGGGATCCTTGACTACCTGGAGATCTTCTATTAGCTGCTTGATTTCCGTTAGCTGCTTGATCACGTCGAGGAAATTTTGGACTACCTGAATTTCCAATCTTGTCTTAATTTTAGTTGTCATCAAGTCGAAAAATCCTGGGCATTTTGAACTACATGGAGTTATGCTACTCCCTTCTTGATGTCAGTTGTCATCAAACCGAAGAGTTTTGGGGGTCCTATTTTGGCCTTGATCATCGTGTTCAACTAGTTTATGAAGATTTTGGACTACCTGGTGATTTACCATTGCCTTGACACCCGTTTCTGAGAAGATCTTGGTTTACCTGAAAATCCATCTTTGCCTTTTCGACCTATATTGCCATCTAAGATCCTGATGATTTTAGACTACTTAGAGGAACTTCAATTTGGCCTTTATTATCTTGATCCCCTCATTAACCAGTTCCTGTCTCCTTGATGTCAGTTGTTATCAAGTGTAGAAGATTCTGGGGATTCCTGGACTACCTTGAGGTTCGTTCTTGTCTCCTTGGCGTTAGTTGTCATCAAGTTGAGGAGATCCTGAACTACCTGGAGATTTGCTATTGTCTCCTTCAACTCAGTTTTCATCAAGTCGGGGAAATTCTGGGTATTCTAGAGTTCCGTCGTTGTCTCCTTGATCTGATCAACCGAGATCCTGAGAATCTTGAACTAAGTGGAGGTTCGTTGTTTTTTTCTTGATCTCCTTTGTCATCAAGTCGAGGGATCTTGGGGATCCTTGACTACTTGGAGATCCTCTATTAGCTGCTTGATCTCAGTTATCATAACGTCGAGGAAATTCTGGGCTACCTGAAGTTCCAATCTTGTCTTAATCTTAGTTGTCATCAAGTCGAAAAAATCGTGGGCATTTTGAACTACCTGGAGTTATGCTACTCCCTTCTTGATGTCATTAAATCGAAGAGTTTTGGGGGTCCTGGACTACTAGTTTGGCCTTGATCGTCGTGTTCAACTAATTTATGATAATTTTGGACTACCTGGTGGTTTATCATTGCCTCCTCGATCTCCGCTATCATCAAATAGAGACGTTCTTGGACCTGGATTACCCCGCCTTATTACTGCCTTTATAGTCAGCGACTCGCCTCCCAGACTGGCTGTGATTTGCCGACTTTTCAACATGGCTATACACCACTTGATTGTCGACGGATGTATGTCTTTTACGTTTAGAGCCTTCTCTATGGATTCATATGAGGTGTTATCAAACGCACCCTCTATATCTATGAAAGCACAAAGGGCTATCTCTTTGGTTGCAATTGCCTCCTCTAAGGTGCTAGTCAAAGCATGGAGAGCGGTAATTGTTGATTTTGCTTTCTGGTAAGCATGTTGGCTAGGGTGGAGTGGATTTGTGACAAGCACTCCATTCCTTAGGTATTGATCGATTACCTTTTCCATCCCTTTGAGCAGAAATGAAGTTAGGCTAATTGGTCTGTACGCCTTGGGGTCCGCGTTTGAACGCCTACCACCTTTAGGTATGAAGACCACCTTTACTTTCCTCCATAGAGTGGGTATATAGCTAAAGCTGTAGCTAGCTATATATAGGGATATTATTATTGGGAGAAGGTCTTCTAAGCCTTTTTGCAGAAAGATAGGCAGAATTCCGTCTCCTCCAGGCGATTTTAGGGGCTTGAAATTCGAGATAGCCCACCTTACTCTGTTGGGTGTGAAAATATTCTCAGCTGTGCTGCGAACCCTACCTGATGGACGGGTTATGTCCATTACTTCAGGGTCGGCATCTGCATGGGGGCAGACTTTTGAGGAAGGAAAGTGTGTACTCAGTAGGAGCTCCAACGATTCCTTAGCATCCTCTGTATATTTACCATCTTGTTTGCATAGGTGGCCTAGATCAGTGTTGTGATCTTTTGCCAAGATCTTATGCAGACGACCAACTGTAGGCGTATTGTCTATGCCTTCACAGAAGCTGCGCCAGGTTTTTCTTTTGGCTTTGCGGATAGCCAAGTTATATTCCGTTAGGGCTTTTTTATAGAGATCCCATGTTTGCTCGAGTTTGGAATTCCTGACTTTACTATATAGTCTTCTAACCAAGACTCGCTGGTTTTCAAGTTCTTTATTCTACCAAGGCATATTGGATTGTGCTCTTTTGTGTTTTATTGGAGAGCTTGATTCATACGCACTATATATGAGATTGTTTAGTTGAAAAGAGGCTATTTCGAGATCCTCTCTGTTTTCAATCTTTGTTTTGATTTCATCAACCTCTTCGCTGATGTGTCTACAAAAAGAGCACCAATCAGTGAGTGAGGGGATTCTGAATTCTGTTTGTTTTGTCATGTCTGCTACAATGACAAAGCGAATATGCTTGTGATCCGCTAAAGTGATTTCACGCGNGCACCAATCAGTGAGTGAGGGGATTCTGAATTCTGTTTGTTTTGTCATGTCTGCTACAATGACAAAGCGAATATGCTTGTGATCCGCTAAAGTGATTTCACGTGAAACATGCCAGTTTGCGATTTGCGAACTAAGGCGAGGCGTGGCTAGACTTATGTCTAGCACCTCTTGTCGACTCTTGGTAACAAAAGTCGACGTTGTTGAAGATATCTAAATTTGTAGTTTGAAGGTATTGGTAAAGACACTCACCCCTTTTGTTTGTGTCTGAGCTGTTTCATGCGAGATGATGTGCGTTCGCATCGCAGCCCAGGAGGAGTTGTTTCCCCCTCTTATTGCAATAGTTGATGAAGTCTTTCACCTCTTGTGGCGGTGGATCGTCCGATTCACCGGGGAAGTATGCCGAGGCTATAATCGCCTCTTGCTTACCTCCCGGCGTCGGCAGTACCGCTGAGATTGCAACCAGGTCCCTAGAGATAAACTGGGTTAAAGGTAGGCAGTTTAAAGAGGATTTAGCGAGTATCACTGCTCTCGCAGGGCACTCTCCTCTGTGATAAAATAACTTACCTGCTTTTGTTGATAGTCTTCTGACTATTCCTCCATATATATATGGCTCCTGAATCAGCGCAACATGTATGTTGGGGCTGTGGAAGCCCTTGACCAGCACGTCGGAGGCGCTATTGTTTGACGGGTGCAATTTTGGGAGCGGCAGTTTTACCCTTACCCTTTTTTTCGGAACTAACCTTACCTGTACCCTTCTTGGTGTCCTTGGCGGTTCCGGAAGTTCCAAGTGTTGGTTCGGGTTCTTCCTTCTGTGGCGTAGGCTTGCCGCTCTTTTGCCTCAGGGTGATTTGCCCGAACTTATAGCTAACCTTGTAGTTAGTTCTTTTAAGGTTCTCTACAGAGGGATGGTCAACGGACAACGTAAGAAAGGCCTTGTGTTCAGGCCTTCGTTTTGGCCTTTAACAATTTTTAAAATGCGGTCTGATTTCTCATCCGCACTGTTGGGGAAATAGGCGTTCATGATAGTCGCTCTAGCTAGCTCCTTTTCATTGATAGCCATTAGGGATGCCCCCTCCCATGGTTGTAGGGTTGGAGTTACGGACTTTATCCAGTCCGCTGTTTCCTGGTTTTCGCAGTTGACTACCAGCCATCCTGCCTTAAATGTGGTGCCGAGGAACTTAGGCTTGATGTCGCCTTCATGTCCCTCGCTAAGGTCCAAAATTCTTGAGATGATGACTTCTTGAATAGCCTGCATTTGGGCTGTTGTGAGGTTCACCTCTGGAAATAGGGAATCTGCAATTCCCATCTTTTTACCTTCCAACACCTGCTTGAAGCTGGCAGCTGTAGGCTTTTCAGTAGCTTTCAGTAGCGGCTTTCAGTAGCAGCTCGTTTGGTGTTGGGCCCTTTAGGCGTTGTGCTTTCGGAGCGAGGTTTCTTAGCCCTCTTCTCCTCCTCACTGATAGGCTTTCTGGACTACCTGAATATCGCAGACTAGCGAAGAATTTATCATGTTCTGACTATTCTAGATTCTCTTGATTTCCACTATTGCCTTCTTGGTCTTCAGTGTTATCAAATACAGATGATTCCGGGATATATGGAATCTCTTCGCCAATCTAGGATTTCCTAGTGATCATAATCTTCCTGAAATTAGACTTCTGGTGGCATCTAATCCAGAAGATCCTGGACTAATCTTTAAGATAGACTAGCTAGGGGTTGATTCTGTCCTGCACTTTTTGGATTAGTAGGAATGTAGTAGTTTTTGTAAAATTTCCTAAAATTTTAGTAAAAATCGATGCAATTAAATTAAACTGTAATCTAGATTTTTTTAGTAGACAAAAAAGTCAGTAATAAAGCGCCTAATTACAAAAACAAATCGATTTATAAATAGGGATATACCAACGACGTCGAATCAACACGACATTTCAGCACCACCAACAGTCGGAGTATCTTCAAGAAGTAAAAGTAGCGATATTTTAAGATCGAGTGTAAAGAAGGATTCCCCCGAAACGAAAAAATCTCACTTCGACAGTTTAAAGCAATGGGGGAAGAACCGATTAAAAATACTAAACAAGTACACAGAAAAATCGCAAGATCTTAAAGATAAAGAAAATATAGAAGATATTAATTTATACGAAACTGTAACGATTAAAAGAAAGCGCAGTTTGGATAGAGATAAAAAGAAAGAAACTTTACATCAAAGGCAACCATCAGGAAGTTCGACGGATAAATCAAGCATAGCAGCCCCGCAAGTTAAATTAAGAGATAGTTCTTTACAAAGACGTTTGAGAAGATCTGGTGGCGAAAATAAAGAAGAACCGCATTCATCTAGCGGTAATTGGAGTGCTAGTTCTGAAAGCGGAAGAGCTTCAATCGGTTCGGAAATAACAACTCACCCAAAATCAACAACATCGGCCGCCACCTCTAGTAATTCATTAAACATTCATCCTCCGGGATCAGCAAACAGCCGAAGACGTTATAACATCAACACCTCAACATCTGGAAGCTGTACAAGCGAAGGAACTTTAACGCCAGATATTATTCACGATTTACACGAAGATGGCGAAACAAGTTCAGTTTATTCTTGCGACACCGAAGGTTATTACACGTCGTTCCACGTTGATAGCGGGCTAAAAACGTTGAGAGAAGAGGATGGCCCGCAAACTCCGATTCATTCAACGACCGTTTTTACGAATTCCTCAAGTAACACGATTTTATCGGCTGAAAATGAGTATGAACTTTTCGGGAAAGGGTCTACTTCGACCACAACGAGTTCTGCAGGAACTGTTTGTACAACTTTACGCGCCGCCGATTCCGATAGATCTTTGCTAAACGTTGGTCCGGCTGTTCCAGAAAGAAAAAGCTCGTTGAATCAAAAAAATTTGAAATCGTCGCCGGAAAGTTCCCTGGAACGGGATTATTCCGAAAAAACCGGAACTGTTAAAAGGAGTCCGCATCAAAAAAATTCTTCAACAGTTGCGCTTATTCATAAATCGCAAGGGGATGTTTCTCCTGATAGTGGGCATAATTCATCGCCGATTGAATCGGCGAATAGTCCAAATGGAGCGAGGAGTTGCTCGGAGTTTGAGTTTTCCGAAACTTCGGATGTTGAAGGAGAAAGAGTTGAGAGGATTCGAGTCAAAACAACGATTAATTCCAGCAGAATTCCTTCAATGTGCGCGATAACCCCACCAATAAGCGACGATGAAAGCGTCAAAAACTTCGACACAATCCAAGAAAAAATAAACAACAAAATAATCGAAACAAATTTGGACCATTTAGACATAGTCAAAGAAACGAATTTAATGAAAAACACCAAAATCCAATTAATTAACGTTAACCCACAAAGTGGTTACGCCACGATCGAAACAATCCAATCAAACGAATCTAAAGGATTTCGATCCGCTTCTCCAAGCGGAGGAACTGTGATAATCAAAGATATCAAACCCGCGAATCTTCAGAGTCAACCCATTTTTAAATCGACTTTATTACCCCTAAACAACATGATTGGGAAAATAAAAACGAATTGGAACAACATAAAGAAGCAAAATCAAGCTGAACCGGATTATGTAACGATCGCTGAAAAAAATAATAACGACATGGATCAAAATTTAAAAGCGGTTTTATCGGGGAAAATCAAAGAAACCGAGTATGTTTCATTAAACGAGCTCCCCATCGATTCAGATTTAAACTCGCTCGAAAGAAAACGAAAAGGAGCTCGAGTCACTTTAAACGCAGACGGGAAAGTGGTTTATTCCTCGGATAGTTTACCAAGAAGGAAAGGATCGAGTACCTTCGAGCCTGGCCCGTTTGTGAAAGACTCAAAAAGTCCAACTCCGAGTCCGATTCCGGATCATCGCAACATCAACATCCGCCCGGTTAATCGGCCAATGTCGCCGCAATTAGGTAAAGTCATCATTCGTGCGAGTTCCGGAATGCAAAACTCCCCAACCTCAGAAATAATCCGCATGCAACCTAGTACCGTAGTTACACCCAACCAAAGTTACCCACACAAATCAACATCAACATCAACATTCCCCGGATTAACGCGTAGCGGAGCTTACGTGCATATGTTGGATCAAAAAGAGTCCAATTTCCAAGGTAAGATAACATTAACATCAAATAATCTCATCCAAAACGAAAAAAATAATTTAAATCATAATAATAATAATAATAAATTGTTGACGCGCCGTGAAAGTTATAAATTGGCAAACTACCAACCGCTGCCGAAGAAAGTTTCGAATTTGGATAAGGGGAAATTGGCGATCGAAGATCGTATTGAAAAGGAAATCGCGGCAGAGCTTTGGCGCGAAAGGATCAATTATCCGGCGACGGTGTCGCCAAAGCTTTGCGAAAGACCCTGTCACGTGTACAGCGCTACGCACGCGCGCGAGCTTCTCATCGCTTCGCCCCCTACCAAAAGGGTCACCGTGCTCAACGAGAACGGGGTCGAAGCGAAAGCTCGTGTTTTATCCGTGTGCGGGAGTGATACCGAAATTTGGTGATGTAAACAATTAATTGGCTTTAAAATGATTTTGTCAAAATCATTTGAGGTGAGAAAAGTTCATTTTGTTATTCGGAATGAATTCATTCTTAAGATGTGGTGATTCATTTTTATATGATCATCTTAAAGTATAATACCAAAATGCTAAAATTTCTTAAACATTAACATTTTTAGATCTAAACACTTCATTCTCAATAGGTAATCTTTCAAAATTACGTTACCCCAACTTAACTTATCGAGTTATGTTGTCATGGAAATAGAAATGTTAAAATCTAAGACATTTTTGAGTAGTTATGAGTTATGAATCAAATGAAAAATTTTTTGGATATAAAGTAGTCATCTTCAGCCAAAAAAAGGTGGTTCCAAACTCTAGAAGTAATCAAAAACATATTTTGTCTATTATCGTTTTGATTTCATCGAGGTTGATGGCTGGAGGTGAAGAATTTGTTCTGGAAACAAACCCTGCTGGAATAAGATATTTCGTTCTTTCTGCTCACCTCTCATATTATCTCCTTCAGTTTGTCTTGTCAGTTTATGATCAAATATCTTCAAGTCTCTGTATCGGCTATGGAGAACACGCATTAAAGATGACAGGTTTAATGGAAATAGTTGCAAAAAATCAATGATAGATGCATAACCTGGATTATCCTCAAAAAGTAAAAAAGAGTGCATTTTCAAAAATCATAGCTCTGTAGCTCTGCGGTTACAAATTTCCAAATTATTTTCTGCCAAGGTACCAACTGTTTTGCAACTTGATCCTCAACCTTTTAAAAATTATGTAATCATTTTAAAATGTTTATACATGGAATTGAGATCCCACCAAGTAACAAACCCCAATCCAACTCGGATAATAGAGCTAACAGGTCTTTATGTACTACATAATACTTTGCGTTCTTGTCTTGATAATACGCGGGAACAGTGCTATTCAGGCTGTTCCTAAACTTTGTTTGCTCAGAACTTCTTTATTCTATCATAACCCTACATTTATTTTTGCAGTTTCTAATAGTAAATTTAGTTTAGAAACTTTTATCACTCTTAGAGAATATTGATAAAAACCACCGTTTTCGTATTAAATGCAAAAATGTTAGGCTCCGAATTCAATAACACTAAAAAAAAGAAATAAATAAATAATCTGAATTGGCAATGACAAGTGAAAATCGAACTGAGCTGTCATAACTATTATGTATGCAACATGTCCAAGTGTAGATTTAGCTAAATCACATTTTTAATTTGTTTTAGTTGGTTTAATAAAAGAACTCGAAAACGATAAATTAAAAATCAACAAAAAATAAACAAAAAAACGACAACACTAACAGGAATAATGAAAACATACATAAAATAACAAGACAAGTAATAAAAAATACTAAAGGAAATGTTCAAAAACTTAGATTTCTTTTTTTTTAGTGCTATTAATGAAATCGGAACCTAACATTTTTGCATTTAACGCGAAAACGGTGACTTTTATCAATATTATCTAAGAGTAATAAAAGTTTCTAAACTAAATTTGCTGTAAACATAAATGTACGGTTATGATAAAATAAAAAAGTTCTGAACAAACAAACTTTAGGAACACCTGTATAGCATTGTTCCCGATGACCGATCCAATTCATAAATTGCCTAACGATTTTACATGACATTGATTTACACTGTACCAAATTTCAACGCTTTACTATAAATAGTGTTTAAGATACTTGGAAAAATGTGTTAAAATTTCCTAACTTTGATGGCCTGTATCGTCGAAATTTGAAGACTTTTACTAATTTTTTTTTTACATGAATCGTCATCATTTTCACTCTAGTATATATGATTAAATTTGTTCCCCGAGTCACCGAAACACCCTGTATATGGGTTGGAATGCTTTCGGGTTAAGGTATTTTAAAAGGGTTTTTTTTTTGGGTTAAGCGACCTTGGCGGTTTGAGGGTAAATATCTTCTTATAAGAGACTTTTATATCTTTATCAATATAAATATCATTTATTTGATATCTTGGAAAGTGAACTAAACGTACAGCACTTGTATATGAAATCGTTTATATAAATTTATCTACGACTGCTTGGATAAGTCATCATTACCGCACTCATTTGAGTTGATTTGAGTTACGTAATGAAGTTCATTACCATTGAAACGAGCAACAATACAAAAGAAAAAGTGCTATCTACTTACAAAGAAACAATACTATTTATTATAAACATTAATTGTTATCTTTTTACATTTTAAAAGACTTATTCCAGATGAGTAAACATGTTGTTGAAACTGACAATTCAAAATTGTCAACAATCATTTCAGAATATTTTTATAAATGTCAAATAGACTTTTTTAAAAAAATTGATTTTTTAGTAATTTTTAGCAGTCGTAGATAAAATGCTGTATATCACACGTGGGCTAGAGCACAATTACAGTACTCGTGTGATTATTGTGCAATTCTCCATACTTGTACTGTAATTATGTTTCTAGCCCACTTGTAATATAAATAACTATTATAGCACTTGTACAATGTGTTCATTAATTAGACCGCGTTATACATCACTTGACTGGTAAGTAAAGGTGTAACTTATCTTAGAAAAAAATGCAGAATACCGACAGACCTAAAATACTATTTGTTTTGCATCATACGCCTAAGAACCGACTTAGATACGACACTTAGATACATCAAGAAATTCTATAATAGAAAAAATAGATGAACCTACAATTTCGGGCGAGTGTCGTTTTCTAGATGTTAATATAATAGGATTAAAAGTTTATGTCTTTTATTTTATATAGAATGTAAATCTCACTAGTTTCGACCCTTGGCCATCTTCAGGGACTCTACAAATAGATTAATATCTCTCATCTTATCCATTTTACAAACGACAGCGGTAGCGCTAGTTAGCATAAGATATCGCTATGTTGCATATTTTTCTTACACTAAAACTAAAATGCTTGAATCTTCTGGAAAACATTCCCATTAACTTTTTTCAATTCTTTCGTCATTGTCAAATGATATAAAAATGTTTTTAATGAATTTAAGGCATTTTGTCACACACCAATTAATTTTTTTTATTTCTTCCTATCTTTGAAACACTTTCAAAAATACTGAAATCATTTTTTTCTGATTCTTTCCGACTTGTTACGTATTCTAGAGATGTTTGTAGTGGATTAGAACCATTTTGATTCACGCTAATCAGTTTTTCCAATATTATAAAATGCTTGAATCTTCTGAAAAACATTCTCATTAACTTTTTTCAATTCTTTCGTCATTGTCAAGTGATATAAAAATGTTTTTAATGAATTTAAGGCATTTTGTCACACACCAATTAACATTTTCTATTTTCTCCTATCTTTGAAACACTTTCAAAAATACTGAAATCATTTTTTTCTGATTCTTTCCGACTTGTTAAGTATTCTAGAGATGTTTGTAGTGGATTAAAACCATTTTGATTCACGCTAATCAATTTTTCCAAAATTCTAAAATACTTGAATCTTCTGGAAAACATTCCCATTAACTTTTTTTCAATTCTTTCGTCATTGTCAAGTGATATAAAAATCTTATCCATTTTACAAACGACAGCGGTAGCGCTAGTTAGCATAAGATATCACTATGTTGCATATTTTTATTGCACTAAAACTAGAACTAACACTAGACCTANCAATTCTTTCGTCATTGTCAAGTGATATAAAAATCTTATCCATTTTACAAACGACAGCGGTAGCGCTAGTTAGCATAAGATATCACTATGTTGCATATTTTTATTGCACTAAAACTAGAACTAACACTAGACCTAGAACTAGAAAGTTTCGGGTGGTTCTAGGTTCTAGGTCTTGGTAGTTCTAGTTTTATACTAGCTCTATCCCTGGAACTAATCCAAGACCTAGAACTAGAATTATTCGTGTTTAGCCATCTTGAGAGACGTGGGACTAAATCCGAATATTTCTAGTTCTCGGCCTAGTGTTAGTTCTAGTGGCAGTGAGTTTTAACTTTAAATTTTGACATATTTGTCAACTTCACAAAAAATTCTTTAAAATAAGTCCAAACTCGACATATTTAACTTTAATATTAACGGAAATACAATCACTTCCGGTTTGAAACGTCAACGACAATTTTGACATATTTGTCATCTTCATTAAAAAATCTTTAAAATGAGTCCAAAGATGACGCACTTATCTCAAAAAACAAAAAAGTTAGAATAAAAGACATTAAACCCGAAGTTAGCAACAATGAAGATAGCAATTTAATTATTAAATATTAATACCAACCTTAATTTTTAATTTTTTTTATTGTATTTATATTTTTGTGACATT